ACATCTGTCACCTAAGGCTTTAAACAGATCCTGCCTATCATTTTATAACTGCTTTGCCCAACTGTTTCCAGCGTTTAGAGCACACCAGTCCTTGCATGAAGACCAAAATTTATAAACCTCAGAATAACAATCCTGTCCCTCCCCAGACTCCAAATTTTCCTCTGCCACCGTGTTCTGAAACCTTTTCTTCCTCCTCTCCCTAATAATCCACATAATTTCTTCAAATTCTTCCTTTTTCTGTCCTTTCCTTTATCACTGACATGAAGGGAATCTTTAGTATTGTGTAGATTGTAATATAGTTGTTTATTATTTCCCCCAACATCATCTCCACTTCATTACCTAACATATTAGTTCCCTATTGCTACCATAAGAAATTACCACAAACATAGTGGCTACAAACAACCCAAATTTATTACCTTAGTCATGGAGGTCAGAAGTCCAAAATGGACTTCTATTTGGCAGAAATCAGGGTGTCCACAGAGCTGGTTCTTTCTGGAAGCTCTGAGGGAGAATCTTTCCTTGCCTTTCCAGCATGTAGAAGCTGCCACATTCTTCACAGCCCCCTGCCCCAGCATCAAAGCCAGCAATTGCAGGAAGAACCCTCACACTGAATTCCTTCTGCCTCCCTCTTTCACTTATAAGGACCTCTGGGATTACACTGTCCCCCATCCCCAGATAATCCAGGAAAACCACATCATTTCAAGATCCTTATATATATAGAAAAATGCACAGACACTAAATCTCTATAATTGCATGAATTTGGTAAATGTTTATACCCATACTGCCAACACCCCAATCAAGATACAGAACATTTCCATCATACAAGTTCCTTTCTATTCCTTTCTTTCTGGTTACTTTTCACTCTTTCAATAGACTATGACTGTGTCCTGATTTATTTTGTGTATTACTAAACTTCATCTAATGGAATTGTACAGTGCTCTTTTGTGTCTGGCTTCTTTCACTTAACATGATGTTTTTGAAAATCATTCATGTTGTGAGTCAATGGTTCACTCTGTTTTATTGCCAAGGAGCATTCCTTTGTGAAATATACCACAATTCCTAAATCTTTTCTCCTGTTGATGGACACACAGCTCAGTTCCAGTTTGGGACTATGAATAAATATATAAAGTTATAGGAAAAAGTCCTTATTTAATCATATCAGCAAAGTCCATTTTGTCATGTGACATAATGTATTTGCAGGTTCCAGCCATTAGGAAATGCACATCTTTAGGGTGCCATTATTCTGCCTACCACCCCTAATTTGACTACTTTGTTTCCTCATCCTGCCACCTCTCCGGCTAGGTCTCCTAACCACCTTATTTGTTGCCATGGGACCTTAAGCCAGCCTCATTAGCTTTGTCCTGGATCAGAATCAGGCACTGTAAAATCAAATTTTAGTAACTGACCACCCACCTCTTCCCCTAAAACCAAGCCCCAGCTTTATATTGCAGGCCTAATTCCTAGGTCCTGGCATGATGTATCTATGCTCAAGTTCCTGCCTAGAACCTCAATTCCTTTAGAATTATGGGAGAGCCTTGCTTACACCAACCCTCCAGAGAACACTGTGGCTGGGGCCTTCCTATGTGGCCATGCAGGGAAAACACTTGCCAGGCTGAGCTTCCTCTTCTTGCCCATGATCACACTTCTCTGAGGCTGGATCCTCTGATCTGCCCAGCCACCAATGACCAGACCTAGTTTGCCTTCCATGTAGAAGTCAGTCTATCTAGTCTAGAGTTTTTCAAATTTTTTTGCACATTAGTATTACCTATGAAGCCTTAAAATATCTCAGTGTCTAGGCTGTACCCCACACCAATTGAATCAGAATGTCTGGGGCTATAAATCAGCATCAGTACTTTTTAAAATTTTAATTTAAATTAAAAAATTTAAAATTCCTCCATTGATTCCACTTTGCAGGCAAATCAAGAATAAGTGAAACATAGATTTAGTGCTCGAAGTTTACTCTGCCTACCAACAGCATCATTATCCCAGGAGCTTGTTAGAAACACAGAATCTCAGGCCTTCATCCCAAATCTACTGCATTCAAATCAACATTTCAAAAGGTCCCCCAGATGGTTTTGAAAAGCTGTGATCTAGCCTGTCCCAAACTGAGCTCTCATTCTGAAAATGATCATAATGGACTTCTCCTTTTTCTTTTAATTGAAAAACATAATAGTATTAGAAAATTTTTTGAAATAATAATTAGTGTTTATTGAGCATTTAACATGGGCTAGGCAGAGCCTAACACGTGATGGTGATTGTAGACATTGGCTCATTTAATCCTTACTACAAACTTTCTCAGCAAATCCTCCCCAAACTGCCCATCGATGCTTGATTCCTATCCTCTATCTGAGCAACCTTTTGTTGTTTCCTTTACGGAACTTACTACATTTTGCAATTTTTCTTTGTTTACTTTTTTCTGCTGTAACTGCCAGGCTGAATGTTCCACACAGGTGAGAACCATAATAGTCTGTCTCATTTTATGGTAAATCCTTAGTGCTTAGCACTTAACAGTGATTCAAAAAGAATTTATTGAATGAATGAATGAATGAAGTAGGCACTATTATTATCTCTATTTTACAGACAAGGAAACTTGCCCCAGATGCTGCTCCTGGTTAAGTGAGGGGGAACAATGTGAGCCATATCTGAGCTCCGTCCAGGTTCCTTATCACCACCTGCAATGCCCACACCACCCCAGTGCTTTTCTTCTGTAGGCTGCCTTCTAGTTTCTTAATTTGCATATGTGTTTATTTTATATAATTGCAATAGGAATGCCATATTATTTGGAATTTTGCTTTTTTCACTTAACATATCACACTGTGTTTTGCCAATTAAAAAAATCACAGACTTTAAAAATGGCTACATAATAGCCTATGACATTGGTTTACTATAAATTACTTAACTATTTATTGCTTAGCATTTAGGCACTCTCATTGTTACATAGATAACTTTCAGGCAAGTATCTTTCAGGTATGCCTAGTTGAGCTGAGTTTCTATTTTTCACAAAACATGGAAATTCGTATATCATTTTCATCTGAATTTTCATGGTGTTGTAGCTACTTTAGATACTTTGAAGCATGCTAAAGAATGGGAGCATTTGTACTGCTGGCTTTTATAAGGCACATAGAATTGTGACATTTTTACTCTCCCATCTTATCCAAGCTTGTTCATTAAATTGGCTCCTAAAGCTTTTTTCTTCTGCTGAAATCTATCTGCTTAATTTTGATCAGTGACAAGTTATGCCAACTTGCAACTTTTGACAGTTTCTATTCACTCCCCAAATATGCTGACCCTTTGCTTCCCTAAATCACAAGCATGAGATCCCCATCTGCAGTTTAAAGATTAGGTCTGACTGAAGTCCAGACTGAATTTCTAGAAACCAGGTTATGGGGAGACAGATGACCCTATTTGATTCCTCTTGTTGCCTTTGATCTCATCCTTCAAGGTCTCAGTGCAATAATGTAGAGAATTCTGGATCAGAAATCAGATCTGGGGGCTAGCTCTTCACTGAACTTTTGCTGACATCTGGACCTTTACTCCCCTGATTTCCTCATTCTTTACACATGGTAACTATCTGCTGGGATTAGGAAGATAACATGAGATAATCTACATGAATGCACTTAAGACACTCTTAAAAATACATAGATATATATGTGTGTGTGTGTGTGTGTGCGTGTGTGTGTGTGTGTATGCATGGGTGTACAATGTGTATATGTAAAAAGTTATTTCAGTGCAGAAATAATTGTAATTCTGTATTTTAATACATCAATGATTATACTTGATGACTTACTAAGCATTTAATTTACATAATTTATTTGATAGTTAAACATTTAATACTTGAATACTTAAATATTTTAGTAGTTAAGAGTGCTTGATCTTAAATTTGGTGCTGCGATGAGTACCTTCTCACCTAACTCTATTGCATCTTTTTCAAAGGACCAAATTCTGCCTTTATGTTCTCTACTCTCATGATTTTTTTAAAAAATTGCTAATATTATAATGATATTTAACTCAGTAAGTGTTTAAGGAGCTGTCTTTAGAAAAACTGGAATTGGTAGAGTTGCCAAATTGATTGACACAACTGAGATGAAAGTATTAACCTAACAAGCAAAAATAAAAAGACAAAATGAAAGAAAGCATGGAGCTGCAGTAAGGGACTTTCATCTTGTATGTTTGTATTGTGAGAACATGAGATCTGCACAGTATTATGAACACTTTAAATAGAAAACAATTCAGAGGAAATTAAAAATTCTTTAACTCTGACCAGATGTAGTTAAAAAAAAAAAGCAGTAAGCAGTTGAAATGTCGTGTTAAGATTAAACTTGCAAAAAGTAAAAGGAGACGTCTTTCTCCAGTCATAAGGGTAAACTAACAATAATAAATCCAAACTCCCTTCTTTGCACAAAGCGGGAAACGCAAGTGACAACTCATTTTCAGAAAAATCTTCACAAAAACCTCTGCCAACAGCAGAGGAAGGAGGCTGGTCAGCTAAGGCCTGAGTCCCGTCCAGAGCGGGAGGCTCGACCCGGCCACCTCCGGAGGGAGAGGGACGTTGGTCAGAGAAGCAGGGTCCGCCTGGGCCGTGATCTGAGCCGAGCGAAGCTTACGGCGGCCCGGCACCCTGACTGCGAGGTGCGGTGGGTCTCAGCAACGCGCCCCCTGCTCCCCTCCCGGCAGGGGCTGCAGTGCCGCAGGGGGCGGGACGGGTCAGCAGGGCAAATACTTTCTCGGAATCCACCGCCTTGCCTACTCCACAGCTTTTCTCCTCCTCCCCAGCCCCCTTTCTCTACCACCCTCCAACTCCGACCGGGCGGCACCGCAGTTCTGCCCCCAAAGCCCCACGCAGGGGTCGCCCTGGGTAGCGCGCCGGACCCCGAACAGCTCGAGCGCTGCCCAGGAGCGGCGGGTCCCCGCCCGTTCCCGCGGGCAGAGGAGGGCCCCCCCTTGGGGGAGGGGTCTCCCGGGGCCGGGGCCGGGCGGGGAGGGGCCGGCGCGGCCGAGGTCGGCGGGGGGTGTGTCCGAGGGGCCGGCGGGCAGGAGGGCAGACCCGCGCTCTGCGGAGCGGCTCCGCGCGGCGGCCTTCTACCCCGAGCCCTCCCACGCGGCGGCGGCGAGATGCACGGCTGCGCGGGGGTCGCGCTCCTGGCCTCGCTGCTCTGGACCGCGGCGCGGTGCCAGCAGAGAGGTGAGCCCGGGACGTCCCGAGCCCCGGTCGCCGGCGGGCCGGGGAGGCTGCGGGACAAAGCCCGCTGCTTTGCCGCTTCTTGGTCGGTGCGCGCATCCTGGCCTCACCTCCGACCCGGGAGCGGACACGTGGGTCTCACGCGCGGCCCCTGGGAAGCGTCTCCAGGACTGAGCCGGGGAGGCCTGGGGACGCCACCCGGCTGGGCGCAGCCCCTCACGGGACCCTGGGGCTTTACACACCTCGAGCTCTGGCGCGGGGAGCCCTCTCTGAGCTTTGGAGCCCAGGACACAGGGCTCCCGAGCACCAGCAAAGCGAGCCGCGCGGCGCTGCGAGGCTTGCGGTGGGGGCGGGGAATGAGTGGGAAGGACGTGCTCCGGGGGCGCCCTCATTGTCCAGGGAGGGAAAGACAGAGCCGGCGACCGCGGCCGAGAAGGCACGCGCCCCTCGGGGCCACTCCCGGCCCAGGTCGGCTAGTGGGGAGACGACGCGGCGGGAAGCGCGCCCCTAGCCAGCCGTCCCGGGTCAGGGACCCCGCCGGCGCGGCCCCGGCAGACGGCGGCCGAGGGGGGCAGATGAGCTTCCGAAACCGCGATCTTTGCGCAGTGCCCCCAAGTGACCAAACTGGCCCCTTTCCCCGCAGGTTTAGACCTCGGGCACTCCGCGGTGAGGGCGCGGCGGCCCGGGGAGGACTTCGCATGCTCACTCGCCGCACCGTACAGTGGTTCTTGCGGCAAGGATTGGGAAGAACAGAAACTCAAAGCGAATTTTCCAAGCTTCTGTCAATGGAAGGAGAAACCCTCTTTCCCTTTCTGCGGACAGCCGCACTCCCCACTCGGTCCATGGGGTTAGTTTCCCCCACGTCGCTTCGTGTTGGTTAGACGGCCACAAATATTTGTTGAAAACAGCTTAATGTATGCAACACTGAACCATGGGCATATTCTCACAAGTACACATTTCATAAAAAAACAGCAACAAAAAGTTAAGGTTCTAAAGTAAGTAAGCGGAATGTGGAAAGCCCTGGTGGGAAAAATGTGTTTAGGCATTGTGCTAAGTTGTGAACTCTGCAGAAACAAAACCATCTCATTCATTCAAGCATTCATGATGAAAGCGCTGGACCGGAGCTGGCAGCACAGCTTTGAATAGCTCGGCTTCTGCTCTGCGCGGAGCTAGGGCTGGGATGGAGGGAATTTACACAGTTATGCGTGCAAGAAAGACAGGCTTGGGGCTGCCAGCCTAACTCTTTTCTAGCAGGTTGCTGAAAGTGAGCAAGACCCGGTTTCCCACACGGTGGAGAGAGAGCAGCTTGACTCAGCTTTATTGTTCTAAGAAATTGAAAGTCCTGGGCTGAGGAGATGCCCTGACAGTTTCCCGTGCCCCTCTGGGCTCAGCGCTTGGCCGGGGCGGTTATGAATGGTGTTTGGAGAAAGTGGGGCCCCAGGGGCTTTCCTGCTTCAGAGGCTGTGGAAAACCACCCACAGCGGGAGCCTTTCGATGTTTCACACCGCTTGCCGGTTGCCTCCCCATCGACCATCACCCTTCCTCAGAAGCATTTTTGAAGGAGTATTCATTTAAAAAGTAATAACTTTGTGCCCCATGTGTATACCATGAATCAGTAATGAAATGGTATCTTTTGATCATAGTAAAATAATAAATGAATCCTGACCAGCATCATTACTGAATTAGGTATCTGGTAGTTATATTTTTGGAAATGACCACTGTATAACAGCACTCAGATTATTAGAAGTTCCTGTCACTTCTGCCTCGTCTGTATTACTTTACAATTTACAGAGCATATGACCTAGTGCCTCAATTCCCTTGAAATGGAACCTTTTAAAGTGAGCTATTCCTAAACCTAAACAGAGATAATATCTTTCAAAAAATAATTTTAGGTCCATAGCTGGCAATGACAGAATTATAGTTGCTTTACAGGTTGGCCATTAACTCTTTGTGTTAAATTGCACTGTTTTTTTTTTTTCTCTAAGTAAAAATAGGTAATCCCAAGTATTGGGGCAGTGGGGGAGGAATCTATTGTATGAATAGAAGAAAGTTTACTTCATTCTCCTAAATGACATAGTATTCAAATTTAGCATGTAAGTACTCCACAGTAAAGTGTGTATGCCTGAATGGATTTCAAAGGTGCATTTTCCTTTTCTGTAGCTTATTCACCAAGAAAGGGTCAATACAAAAATATTGATTTTAACAGTTGGGAACAAAAATATTTGTAATAAAATCACTGCCCATCTCCTCATATCCTACACTTTGGCACATTCCTTTTTCCCTTCCTCTTTTCAGACATTAAATACAAAGCCTCTATCCGTGGTTAATTAGCATGATGAGGAATTCAAATGCAAGAAGGATATAAAGTAAACTTCCAGAAGAGTGTTTTGTGCCTCTCTTTAATTGCTTTATGAGGCAGTATCATGATATGTTTATGTGACCACTTCTTTCAAGGAAATCATCCTTGAGATATCCTCCCATTTTATCAACTCTTACTGATACTCAATCTTTCACAAAGTCTTATGGATATTCAGTAAGTTTTTATGGGGAAATGACAAGATACATCTTTAAGCTTTCGTTGTTTTATTGGTCTGACTACCTGTGGGAAATTGGGCAAGTTACTTAAAACTTCTCTGTGCTTTAGTATTACCATCTGTAAAATGGGAATAATAATGCCTTCCTGGAGATACTATAGATCAAATGAAACAATGAAAGAAAAGTGCTTAGAGCAGTGCATGGTACAGGGTTAGCCCACAATAAGCAATATCTACAACCATCATTATTAGTATTTTACACAGAACTATTGGGGAGGCCCTCTTCCAAGCTATATTCTCTGGGATGCATAATTGTTCAGAAATTCGGAGTCTTAATTGGGAATCAAACAGTCTTGGGCCCAAATACCAGACCTGTCACTTTGATGAGCCATGACATTGGTTAAATTTCTAAACATCTCCGAATATCAATCTTCCTGTCTATAAAATGGACAGGATTAATGTAGTTTAGTAACACATGGAATGTTGGACAGTGCTGTGCTTGTTTGTCATTGTCATGGGCATATAACCCATGATGATGGCTCTTACTGTTGATGCCTGACGTTCATGCTTGCTATCCTGGACACCCTTCCTCTTTCACTGCCCACCTTCATTTGGTCGTTAAGACTTGTTGGTCTTACCACCTGAAAATCTGCAAAACTGTCTCCCATTGTTTGTCCCCACTGCCAGCTAGGCTCAGAAATTGTTTTTCCCATGAAATACTGTGATGATTCTCTCACTCAGCCTCCCTCTTTCCCCTTCTCCCTTAGTACTGCCACCATTCTGATTTTTCTAGAAACACCATCCTGTGGGCTTAGACTAACATTTGCCAGACTCCTCACTTCATAACATGCACACACAAAATGACAATGGCATGTATCATATCAGGAGTAAACCAAGGAGACTTGGACTTTAGCTGTTCCAGGGCCAAGGGGTATTATCTTGGCATACTGCACCTATTCATAGTTCACAGTGTTTCCTGGCAGGTGGACTTTTAAGTGCCAGTGTAGTCTAGCACCCTGGAAAACCCTCCTGGTCCCCTAATGCTGAAGTATTTTTAGGTGCTCTTCCTTGAACTCCAGTGTTCTGTCCATTTAATGTGATTATCTTTATCCTTGTCTTGGAGGTGTAAACAACTGGCCAGCTTCTCTATCTCACCCACCAGCTTGGGTTTTTTGAAGTCAATGACTGTTGTATTCATAAAGTATGTTTATTGCTTTGCAATGTTCCTTGCAGTTAACAGCCATCTAATCTTGTTGAACCAGATTGAATTGAGTATCTTTACTTATGAATCCAGCTTAAAAAAATGTTTTTCAGTCAGTGTTGCATGCCCATGGCACAGATTTCAAAAGGCACTAAAGGATAGATGCAAAAAGGTCAAGTCTTGATTTTGTTACCTTCTTCTGAGGCAACACTGCTTTTGGTTTCTTGAGTATCCTTCCATCCATGTTTCTTCATGTAACTCTTAAAAAGGACGCTACTTCATGAAACCTACTTCTTCCCTAATAGCATAAGGGAGGTACCAGTTATTTTCTGACAAAACATAGAATCATATTCATTTCTCCATTGCCCTCCTCTCCATACTTGTTCTGCAATGTGCCTCTTGCTGGGTGTTAATACATCACTAAATGAGTGTACATACTTGTAAACTTTCACCTTGCAACTTGTCCCTGCCAACATAGGCTTTGACAGAGCTGTTACAGCAGTGTTTCCTAGATGTTTCAGAATTAAAAAAATAGATCATCGATTGATTTCATGCCATTGCACCCCTTCTAAAGTTATTGTTTACTGTAGCACTTTAAGCTAGTCCTTGAGTAGGAGATACTTTTTAAAAATACATTTTAGGAGATTTATGATGTAGAGGAGTCACGTTTGAGAATAATTCCATTAGAAGTTTAAGATAGTGCATTATTTTTTTACCAGTAAGTATGATTTGTTACTGGAACACCTATGGCAGACACAGAAAATTTTCACTTTAAAAAAATAATTCCTGATGAATAGAGTTAAGCCTGCACTTTGCATACAGAAGTTAACTGGAGACCAGAGAGAATTCTCAATCTTAAGCCTCAGGTGAAATTTTTAGTTATATTCCTCATAAATGTATGGATGAACAAGAGAAACAGAAGTCTCCTAGGAAAGGCCTATGTAGTCTATGTGTTTGCAAATCATTCTTTTACTTGTTTTACTTCTAAAATACTAATATGTATCCATGGGTAATTGAGTAAATAAAATGCATTTCAAAATTAACGAGGAGAAGAAATTATTTAATTACTTCTTTATAGAAGTCATTTAATTAAGGTCATGAACTTGGGTTCTGTTGGAACACGCCTGCCAGGGGCTGTTTCAGCGTGAGACACCGCACTATGGCACTATGGCTGGGTTCATTGCATTTTCAGTCCTTTATACTGAGCGTGACTGTCAGTGCCCAGAGGAACCATTTGATAGCACAGAACCCTTCCACTTGAGTCTTTG